ATTGGAAAATTTTGAAATTTTCTTATAATGAGCTCCATACTTTCCCCTCTCTCGTGGAAAAATTTCGAAATTTTCCCTTTTCCAGTTTTCCAGAAAAAAATTAAAATGCAAGAGGTGAATTTATCTTAAATAAGTCCATTTTCCAGAATTTTTCCTGGAGTCATTTTTCATTGGAAAATTTTGAAATTGTCCTATAATAGGCTTTACACTTTCCTCTCTTTCCTAAAAAATTTTCAAAATTTACCTTTTGCCAGTTTTCCAGAAAAAAATTAAAATGCAAGAGGTGAATTTATCTTAAATAAGTCCATTTTCCAGAATTTTTCCTGGAGTCATTTTTCATTGGAAAATTTTGAAATTGTCCTATAATAGGCTTTACACTTTCCTCTCTTTCCTAAAAAATTTTCAAAATTTACCTTTTGCCAGTTTTCCAGAAAAAAATTAAAATGCAAGAGGTGAATTTATCTTAAATAAGTCCATTTTCCAGAATTTTTCCTGGAGTCATTTTTCATTGGAAAATTTTGAAATTGTCCTATAATAGGCTTTACACTTTCCTCTCTTTCCTGAAAAATTTTCAAAATTTACCTTTTGCCAGTTTTCCAGAAAAAAATTAAAATGCAAGAAGTGAATTTTTCTTAAATAAGTCCATTTTCCAGAATTTTTCCTGGAGTCATTTTTCATTGGAAAATTTTGAAATTGTCCTATAATAGGCTTTACACTTTCCTCTCTTTCCTGAAAAATTTTCAAAATTTACCTTTTGCCAGTTTTCCAAAAAAAAATTAAAATGCAAGAGGTGAATTTTCCTTAATTTTACTTAAATAAGTCATTTTTCTGGATTTTTTCCTGGAGTCATTTTCTATTGGAAAATTTTGAAATTTTCTTATAATGAGCTCCATACTTTCCCCTCTCTCGTGGAAAAATTTCGAAATTTTCCCTTTTCCAGTTTTCCAGAAAAAAATTAAAATGCAAGAGGTGAATTTATCTTAAATAAGTCCATTTTCCAGAATTTTTCCTGGAGTCATTTTTCATTGGAAAATTTTGAAATTGTCCTATAATAGGCTTTACACTTTCCTCTCTTTCCTAAAAAATTTTCAAAATTTACCTTTTGCCAGTTTTCCAGAAAAAAATTAAAATGCAAGAGGTGAATTTATCTTAAATAAGTCCATTTTCCAGAATTTTTCCTGGAGTCATTTTTCATTGGAAAATTTTGAAATTTTCTTATAATGAGCTCCATACTTTCCCCTCTCTCGTGGAAAAATTTCGAAGTTTTCCCTTTGCCAGTTTTCCAAAAAAAAATTAAAATGCAAGAGGTGAATTTTCCTTAATTTTACTTAAATAAGTCATTTTTCTGGATTTTTTCCTGGAGTCATTTTCTATTGGAAAATTTTGAAATTTTCTTATAATGAGCTCCATACTTTCCCCTCTCTCGTGGAAAAATTTCGAAATTTTCCCTTTGCCAGTTTTCCAGAAAAAAATTAAAATGCAAGAGGTGAATTTTTCTTAAATAAGTCCATTTTCCAGAATTTTTCTTGCAGTCATTTTTCATTGAAAAATTTTGCAATTTTCCTATAATGAGCTTTACACTTTTCTCTCTTTCCTAGAAAAATTTCAAAATTTACCCTTTGCCAGTTTTCCAGAAAAAAATTAAAATGCAAAAGGTGAATTTTCCTTAATTTTGCTTAAATAAGTCAATTTTCTGGATTTTTTCCTGGAGTCATTTTCTATTGGAAAACTTTGAAATTTTCCTATAATGAGCTCCATACTTTCCTCTCTCTCGTGGAAAAATTTTGAAATTTTCCCTTTGCCAATTTTCTGGAAAAAAAATAAAATGCAAAAGGTGAATTTTTCTTAAATAAGTCCATTTTCCAGAATTTTTCCTGCAGTCATTTTTCATTGGAAAATTTTGAAATTTTCCTTTAATGAGCTTTACACTTTCTTCTCTTTCCTGAAAAATTTTCAAAATTTACCTTTTGCCAGCTTTCCAGAAAAAAATTAAAATGCAAGAGGTGAATTTTCCTTAATTTTGCTTAAATAAGTCAATTTTCTGGATTTTTTCCTGGAGTCATTTTCTATTGGAAAATTTTGAAATTTTCCCATAATGAGCTGCATACTTTTCCCTCCCTCGTGGAAAAATTTCGAAATTTTCCCTTTGCCAGTTTTCCAGAAAAAAACTAAAATGCAAGAGGGGAATTTTTCTTAATTTTGTTTAAATAAGTAAATTTTCTGGAATTTTTCCTGGAGTCATTTCCTATTGGAAAATTGTGAAATTTCCCTATAATGAGCTCTATACATTCCTTTTTTCCTGAAAAATTTTCAAAATTTTCTCTCTGCCAGTTCTCCAGAAAAAAATTAATTTACAAGAGGCTTCATTTAATTTAAAAAACACTGGAAAAGTCTCGGAAAATCGGAAAATTAGGGGAAAAAAAGTTGGTTTCGGGACTTTTTGGGATCCCCTCTACAAAATTGCTATCTTGAAATTTCGAAATTTTGACTTCGATTTTTGGTCCTATGGTAATAATACAGCAGACGCTGGAAAATGACAAAAATCCAAACTTCAACCGGTTGTAGCTCCGTAACGGTAAGTCCTAGAGGAAAACCGTTCATGGCTACATTGTAGAGCTCGTCGAGATCTACAAAAAAGCTTAGTCAGTTTTCCCTTTACGACTTATAGTTTTCCAGATAATCCACTTGGAAATTTTAAAATCGATAGCACAGGATTTTTTTTCAGCGAAAAAATCAAAGTAAAAATTTCCCGGATTTTTTTTCATGACGTCATAGAGGACGTTCAGACAAATGTCGGAACCCACTTTTCCTCCCTGAATTCTCAGTTTTTCCTGGAGTTTTTGCTTTGTTCCTTTATAGGTTTCTTATTATGAAAAAAATGGAAAATCGAAATTTTCGAATTTCGAAAAAACAAAAATTTCGTTGTATAGAGGAGGTCAAAACAAGCAGAAAAGCTATTTGGCATTTTCCCGTAGGACGTCTCCTAAGCTTGGAAAAAAATAAAAAAGAAAATCCATAGGGAGGTTTTTCCAGTCTGACATGGTCTTCTTATTAAATCGGTTATAACTCTGGAACGCCTAGACCGATTTCAATGAAATTTTTTTTTTATTTTTGCTACAAAATAGCCTTATCCAGAATTATCTAGTTTCCAAGTTATAGATCTTCAAAGTTGAAATTTTCCCAAAAATTAACCACGTTTGTTTCAGGTGGAGTTTCAACTTCTGAAAAAATTTTGAAATTTTCCCATAATGAGCTCCACATTTTTCTCTTTCTCCTGGAAAAATTTCAAAATTTTCCCTTTACCAGTTTTCCAGAAAAAAATTAAAATGCAAGAGGTGAATTTTTCTTGAAAAAGTCCATTTTCCAGAATTTTACCCTGTACATATATAACTTCTTGACCAGCAATGAAGCATTTTCCGTCTCAGATTGTAATATACTATTACAAATGTTTATTTTTAAGAAAATGTTATCCTTCATACTAACTATGCTATTGGAGTTATTAAATGCTGGGACGAATAACCAAAATGTCCAACATTGCTACTGTGATATACTTGGTTATCTTGAGTTAAGGTTCGCCAGTATCAACTACATGCCAAGAAGTTAAGCAACCAGTTCTATCAAAAGTCTTTATTGAACTAACTTATTTAAATTGATACAGTTTTCATGAAGGGAAGATGTTTCTAATTTTAAGCACAATTATCTAATAATAAATAATTAATATTTATAACTACTATTACCTTACGTGATATTTGAGGGTTATATCTGCTAAATAACAAGGTTGCCCTGGATCTTATAACATTGAACTAATTACAATATTTCTAACCTGAATCCAGCACAGTACTGTCACACAAAAGTATAAAAATTAAATAATACATTTCTGAGAAAGGGTGATTTCTAAGAAACGCTTAAATAACTATTCATCAATTATTTCGAAAGCTATCGATTTTCGAGACACAATTTAAATTTGAAAATTTTATGATTTTTTTCGCTTACAAGATGGCAACTTCAAATTTTAAATCCTACGTTTCGTAATCGAGCTACCATCATCAACTTCATTTTTTCAAATACGGCCTGGATTTTATAATATGTCATTTTTAAGACGCCTTTAATTACCTTTTCAACGAAAAGTATTTTAGTTAAAAATGGAATAAAAGGCGGTTTCTAAAAAATGACATAAAAAATCCAGGTCCGTATTTGAAACAAATTTGTATCAGAAAATCTTTAATTTCCATCCGGCAGCGCAATTAAATATTTTGGCCTAGCGCCAAGAACAAATTTCAGTCCGGCAATGCTGAAGTTTAAAATACGCCTCCTCCCTAAATAACGATGCCTAATAATAGGAGCCAATTCCATAAACAAACTTCCATTTAAAAAAAAAAAACCCTCAAGATCCATAACTCTAATTCAACCCTTGAAAAATAATAAATTCAATCCACCATCATAAAGACAATAAAATCGGGAAACGATTTAAGCTCCCCTGTTTACTTAACCGTCCTGATGTATTTATTTGACAGCAAAGCCTTATTGTCAAACCTTCAGGGGTTTTGGGCAACTTGACTGTATTTCTTTCGATACGGTTGGAGATTTATGGCTCGACGGACTTTGGGGAGGTCCTTTGCAAACACTGAATTAGCCGTGCAGTTTGAAGAAGAGTCTTATTTCGAACCGGCACGAGAAAGATTTATTGTTGTAGATATAAATTTCGTTTGAACTCGTTTAAACTTTTGGAGAATTATTTATAAGAAAGACATTGGAAGAAGTCAATTAAGTTTTGTTTGTGAAATTTTTGAAAAAAGTCAAGTTCCTAAAGTTCTTGTCTGGTTTATAAGACAAACCTTAAATTATAAAATCATTCATTGAAATCTTTTGTTACAGGATGACTGTCAGTATGACCGTTAAATGTCTTTTTCTTATATTCAATAAAGAGTTTGACTTGACAAAGCAAGTAAAAGTAAGATCCATTCTTGACAAACTTAAGATGCGATTCGAATTTGTTTCAGTTTCGATGTCCGAGGCAAATCGATGTCGCAAGCCAGGCACTGGTCGGCGCCGGAAGTGTTCGGTACCAGAGCGTACTTCCGCACCGTGTCGGAACCAGCGGAACTGGTAATCGAAGACGTCAAGCGGCACGACGAAGGAGTTTACCGGTGTCGGGTGGACTTTCGGAATGCGCAAACGCGCAGCGTCCGGTACAATCTTACCGTAATTGGTAAGTGAATTAGATTTTTGTCAAGTATTTGATATGTAAACTTAGTCACAGTCACACTACTGTTGTAGGTTATAGGACGTTTCTAGAATCAACAACAAGAAACGTCTAATTTTTAAATGTCTATGTCAGAGTGTTTCTCAAAAAGCTATAAGTTATATGAACAATGTTGCAGAGTTGAATTCCATTACCTAGAAGCAGACTCAGCAAAGCAGAACTTATAAATATATGTAATCATGCGCTTATGAGCATTCTTCATTAAACTTAACTTTAGGCTAGAACGCTCTTTGTAATTTTCCAAAATAAAATTGATTTTTAAAAACAGTATTTTTCGTTTAAAATACATAACTAGCGGAGTCGGTAGGATTCGGGGCAGTTTTACGATCGAAAATCACGTTATCGGAACGGTTCGATCGCGAAAAACGTGAGTGCAACTCTTTGGCACCGAAAACAAACACTAAAATCAATTGACTATCACGTGTGTGCACCCAGAATAATTGACTTTATCAGCGGGCTACAAAACGGATGATTTTTGGAATACAACGAGTGATTAGTGGAGAATCAACGTACCAGGAATATTAGACTGACAACCTAAGGGTAAGTGTCCAATTATTCCTGTTGCCCAATTTTCATATTCCCTGGTTAGGAACGGTGAAAATTTTAAATAAGTTACTTTTATTATTATTTTCTCAATTTTTAAATTTACTTCTATATAAATAACTAGTAATTTACTCAATAATTAATCGTAAGTGTATGACAAATAAGTATTGATAATTTTGATGAGCGTGAGCGATAGTGAAATCGAAGAATTAGCTAGATCATTACTATCAATTCAAATCTCCAATATCACAATGCCGACATCAGGCGCAGCACCCGCAACAGTAAATTATGCTTTACTAAAAATGTATACAGACACCATTATGCCGTTTAATGGTGACCCTAGTATGCTTAATAGTTTTCAATCAGCCTGTGACTTCCTTTTTGCTACCTATAATCAATCTAATGATCCAATTCTAAAGAATTACCTATTAAGAGTTATTAGAATGAAATTAACAGATCGTGCCCAAATATTGGTAGGAAGCAGAATGGAACTCGATTCTTGGGATCAAATAAAAGATGCTTTATTTGCTTGCTTCGGTGACAAAACAAATTTGGAATGCCTAGAACAAGATCTGTTTATGGCACTACCAAATAAAAATGAAAATCCATTAGATTTTGCTAAAAGATTACAAGTACTACGTAGTGCTTTAGCTCAAAAGATTAATGCTTTTCCTGATACTCATATGGATGCAGCCACTAAAATAATTTACTTGAGACAATATGATCAAGTATGCTTACGTACATTTATTAGAGGCTTACCCGGACATCTACAAAGCATAATTAGACTCAAAAACCCTGACTGTATCGAAACAGCAATGACTCAAGTTAACGAGGAAGACAATTTTAACTATATGCAAAATATCTATAATAAAACCCCCACCGTGCAAACAAAGCCTATCAACAATAAATCCCAACACCAAACACTGAATCAACATCAAAATTACCCAAATAAAATGTATTACAACCAGTTTCAAGCGGTAAATAGGACGCCTTTCAACACCCAATTTAGGCCAAATATGCAAGCCCAAGTACCCAATCAAATTAATAATTTTCAACCGGCCCAATTTCCAAGAGGCCCTATAAACATTCAACCACGATATATTCAAAGGAACTATCCAACTAATAAGCAGGTTTTTGGCACACCGAAAAATGTATTCAAACCAACAGGACAAGTACCCATAAATAAACCGGAACCAATGTCCACAAGATCTCGATATACGTTATCAAATCAAAATATACAAGGTAATCAATTTTTCAAGCCAACGGGACCTCCAAACTTTGTTTCTCAAGAGCTGTATCAAATTGATGAAACTCAAACAGAACAGCCTGTTGAAGCCACCGATACCAATACTAATGCTTCAGCAATCATTCCAATATCTACCGAAGGCAACCCTGAAGAATATCAAGCCATAAATCTAGCTGATCAATACCAATCCCAATACTTCAATGCATTTTATGGAGATTATTCTCAATATTACAATATGCCTGACGCATATTACCCAATTTACTATGAAAATGCCCAGCAATTCTATGAGCAACCAGAAAATACTGAAAATTTTCAGATAGCCAGCTCAACGAACCCTGGGAACTGACATTTGATATGCATACGGGAATAAACAACAGTCTTTCATATATTACAATTCAAAACCCACCTTTGAGACTTTTAGTCGATACTGGCTGTTACCATTCTATTATACCACCATCTGTAGCAGAAAAATATTTCCCTGAGAAAATTTTCAATCACCCCACGAAAATAAAAACAGGTATAGGCGAAAAGGAAACTCTTTTCAAAGCCAAAATTCCTAGTTTTCCTGAATTCAAAAACGAGTCCGATATAACTTTCATTCTCTTTGATTTTCACCATTATTTTGATGGCATTATTGGACTAAACGAATTATTAAGGTTCAATTTTGTAATTGACTTAATAAATAAAAAATTAGTCAGCGAAAATGTGACCATACCGATCATTTACAGAGAACCAGATAAGGAAATTCACAGCGTCACATTAAACGCTCACGAAGTCATTACCACGAACGTACCTGTTTCGCAAAACAATGTCGATATTATTATACCCGAGAACGTCATAGATCAACTTTATTTTCCCGAGACGCTGACTACTGCAAAAAACGGATATGCACAAACAGAAATTTATAACTATACTGATGATACTATAACTTTGCGGTTCACAGAACCCCTGCAGGTCTGGACTTTACCAGATTTTCACAAAGAAACTTTTGATTTTTTCCATATAGAAGATCTCTTGCCCGAAAAATCCCATACAAAACGAGACCCTACAAATATACAAAATTTGATTCGATCTGATCATTTAAATACTGAAGAAAAATCCAGTCTCTTCAAACTTCTTAGAAAGTTCTCAGATATTTTTCACCAGGAAGGAGAAAAATTAACTTTCACAAATAAAATAAAACACGTCATTAAAACCACCGATGAGATACCAGTCCACTCAAAAACATACCGGTATCCATTTGTTCATAAAGAAGAGGTTCAAAGGCAAATAAACAAAATGTTGGATGACGGAATAATCCGACAGAGCCAAAGTCCATGGAGCAGTCCTATCTGGGTTGTTCCCAAAAAATTAGATTCCAGCGGCAAACAAAAATGGAGGATATGCGTAGACTACAGAGGCTGTAACCAAAAGACTATAGACGATCGCTATCCACTACCGAATATTAACGATATTTTGGATAGATTAGGAAGATGCACTTATTTTTCTACCATAGATCTATCGTCGGGATTCCACCAAATAGAGATGGACCCAGGATCTATCGAAAAGACAGCCTTTAGCGTAGAGAATGGGCATTACGAGTACCTGAGGATGCCCTTCGGGTTGAAAAACGCGCCCGCAACGTTTCAGCGCGTCATGGACAATATTTTACGTGACATACAAGGAAAGATATGCCTCGTGTATATGGACGACATAATCATTTTCTCATGTAGCCTAGAAGAACATATCAAAAACCTCCAACAAGTCTTTGAAAAATTACGAGAATCCAGATTAAAAGTGCAACTTGACAAATCAGAATTTCTCAGGACAGAAGTTGAATTTCTTGGACAAGTGATTACAAAAGATGGAATTAAACCAAATCCAAGAAAATTAATAGCGATCCAGAAATTTCCAAGACAGCGAAAGAAATAAAATCGTTCTTGGGACTCTTAGGATACTACAGACGATTTATTAACGGATTTGCAAAACTGACTAAACCATTCACAAAATGCCTAAAGAAAGGAGCTACCATCGAACACAATTCAGAATTTCTAGAAGCCTTCGAAACCTGTAAAAACGTGCTATGCAACGATCCAGTACACAATATCCAGATTTCGAGAAACCGTTCATGTTAACAACAGACGCCTCTAATGTAGCAATTGGAGCTGTGCTTAGTCAAGGCCCAATCGGAAGCGATCTACCGATAGCATACGCCTCTAGGACCTTAAATCCAGCAGAAATGAACTATTCGACAATCGAAAAAGAACTCCTGGCGATTGTATGGGCTACGAAATATTTTCGGCCATACCTTTTCGGACGAAAATTCACCATCGTGACCGATCATAAACCATTAGAACATTTATTTAACGTCAAAGAAACGGGTTCCCGATTAGTCAGATGGAGATTGAAAATGGAAGAATTCGACTACGAAATTCGATATAAGAAAGGTAAACAAAATCTTAACGCGGACGCTTTGTCTCGCATTGAGATCAATTTAACTGAAGATGAATCAATAATAGACAACCCTGGCGACATAAATGATGAGATTGAAAAATATTTGCAAAAATCTAAAAATCAAGATCCGACCATAGAAGAACTAGATTTACTCAGAGACGTCTTCAACCCAGAAGAAATCGAAAGACAAAATCAAGAAGCAGCTGGTCAAAATGCAAATAAAATATCCATTATTTCCAACGTTCGAATTAGACCACCAATAATACCCAACGAAAGTGACAATGAGACCATGCATTCAGCCATTGAAAATCCGATATTAAATATACCGATAGTAGAAAATTGTGCTAACAATCAAGTAATTTTAATACAAGGATACAAAGAACGCTATCACGTCATAACATCCAAAGTTTTTGAAATCAAACATCGATACACGGTACACTTATCGCAAAATTTCCGAGAAGAAATTATTAAATTCTTCAAAGAATATGTAAATCCCAAGCAACTATTTTGCTTGTACGTAAAGAAATCCGATATTAATCTTGCTGACCAAATAAATATCCGTGATTCTCCCAAGCATATTTAGAAATCACACTTACAAACTCGCTTTGTCAAAATTACTAGTAACTGACGTAATAGACCAGAACAGACAAAAAGAGTTAATTAAATATCATCACGTGACTAAAACATGATATCGAGGCATAAGTGAAGCCCAAATGGCCCTTAA